TATTCAGTTATAAAGGAGGCACTGTGGTCGATTCTGCATTTTAAAAAATAACTGATTTATGAGATGTGCTTCTGCAAATAAAGGTTTTATAGTAAGAAATTGAATAAAAGCACTAAACCTATTACGAAGCTTTCAGCACAGTGAACTAGAACAGCTGCAGGAACACACAGAGCATGATAAAAGCAAAGCTATCAGTAACCTACAGAAGGTAAAATGTTTGTCTGTTAAAGGCCACAAAATTCACCTGAAAACACAGCCACATGTTAACCAGGTACAACACTGCCACAAACACATCCCAAAAGCAAGGGCTGAACTCCCAGCAGTTCAGCATTCCACAGAACACCTGCCTTTTTTTACTCTTAAAAAGTGCATTTAGATGAAAACAGGAGTAGATTAAGCTGAGCTGATCATCACCTTTTTGTTTATGTACGAGACACAACTGAGCTACTTCTCTGGTTAGCACATACCTACACTAAATGTTCCTGTAACTTCTGGCCTGAAGAAGAACAAAACCAGCTTAGTGAACCGCTGCAGAGACCGGGAGACGTCAGCACTGAGCCCATATCTGATTTTGGGCTGGCAGCTTTCAAAACGTGACAGTGAGCAACTTAAAAAGGCTACAAAGAGTCAAACGAATTCCTGCCAACGACCCGGAGGGCTCTTCACGCCAACCTGCGTCACAGCACTGTTTACTTCTCCTTTCTGAAAGGTACCCAGCTCTACAGTTGGGGTAAGAAAAGCCTTGTGGGCTTTTTCACATGACTCCTACCCAACCACAAAACAAAAAACCCCCAACCAAAACAAATTATACAAGCACCCAAATATAGACAGTCAGGCAGGAGAAACGCTGAAATAGAGCTCCATCCACCATCTCTACAAGATAAAGATAACCCTTCCCTGACACACCTGAGGAGAAAACTGCAGCAATTTGGGGCTGTTTGCCATTTTGGCTGACCAGCGAAACATCTCCGGGGTGTAAGTGGTTGAGACAAGTAAATAATAGCTGGCAGTTCTCACTGTCTGATAGCACAAACCACAGCCGCTACTCCAGGCGTTCAAAATGAAGGAAATGAGGTTTCGAGCAACAGTTACAGAAGTACCCTCAAAGTTTTTCACTTTTTTGACGTTGGTCTCCCAGAATTAGATGTGCAAGGACTCTGCCTTGAGTGCTGGGCAAAACTCAGCAGTGTCACATCAAAGTACCAGGATCATTCAAAGGATTTTTTTTTTTCCTTAACCATTTCCTACTTAAAAGGTAGAAGGCATTTTCCAACTTAAAGTCATGTTTGGGTTTACCAATACAGTTTTTGATGAACCAGACACGTTTCTGAAAATGCTAACAGATAAAATCTATCACATTTATTTAAAGTGGGGCAGTTGACAATGCCTCCTCTACTCTTCTGATGAACCAAGCCCAGTTTCACGCCAGAGAGGTGAGCATGCAGTCAGTCCTGACACGCACACTCCTAGGAAAAAGAAGAATGGTTGCTAAACCCAATCTGAAAGCAGTTACTCGGTCTGACCTAAAACTGTGCAGAGAAACACAGCCAGTCAATACCTAACAGAGTTCTGCACTAACAATGGTTTGTCAGGCAGTAACTCCTGCCTTTTGTGAGGATGCAGGGCAAAGCTTCTGTCTTCCCAAGCCATCTGTAATGATAAATTATGCTTAGAAGCAGTATTTATGAAAGCAGCCGAAGTCACAGAACTGGACACTGAAGCTTTTATTTAACTACAGACCAGGAACAAGCAGCAATTCTCTGCACCTCAAATTGGATCTGACAAGACCACTCTTCTTTCACCAAAGGTGGCTGAGTTTCAGTGTCCCTTCATTCACAGACTGCCAGCACGGATAACTGCTGGGAATTTGTGATACTGCAGTCTCCTCGCAAGGATTAAACAGCCCAACAAGACACCTGAGATAAGCTCCTAAAGAACTGCACCTGCCAATTTGCAGGGTAGGTAAATCAGTGACCTCAAAAGTTTCATGTGACACAACTTTCCCACAATTTTAAAGACAGGGAAAAACTTTCCAGATGTAATTCCATTCTTTGCACTGGTATGGTGTTTGGGACAAAAAGCAAATTAATTCACCTGAAGAAAACAATTCAGTAACTGAGATGCTGGTATAGGTATTACCAAGTCTGGTACAGTGGGGGGCAACACAGTCACTACTTGAACTTCCACGCTTGGTACAACACAGCAAACTGAAGACAGAGTCAGCTGCCAAAATCAAATGATTTTTACCTTTGCTTTAAAAAAGATCTTGCCATGGCACTCCTTTCCTGCAGTGTTTACTCCAGTGTGAACTCTCCCACATACACACTGACAAACTGCTTTACTGAGACTATGGCAGAGATAGTAAACACTCCTTCAAGAGTTAAGCAGAAGGAGAAACACACTTATGACACTTAAACGTTGCTGCAGTTTAGGGTGTTAACTGCAACATGTTATTAAAACATAACAGAACTGAGCACTGTAAGCAGGATGATAAAAACAATGATTTCATCTGGCACAAGCTGTCTCCACAGAACAGCCATGTAGGGAACAAATGTGTTCCAGTGGAGTTGAGGGCAGTTCACACCTCAGGTGATCGTATCTCACCCAGCTCAGACCGAGGCACAGACTGCAAAGCTGAACTTTTCTTTTTACTCTCACCTCAGCTCTAGAATTTGTTCTGCTCTCTCCTCCTGTTTGCTTTCCTGCTTGCCTGCTGTAACTAGCTGACTTCCACCATAAACAACCAGTAAGTACATAGCTGGCTAAATGAAAAGGGAAAATAATGCAGTCTATATTCTTTTAAGTAATATACATTATTTTAAATAATGTAAATAATTTTGCAATTCCTTTACTAATAATAATGGCCAGTCTCTTCGCGAACGAAGAACCGGGGAAGGTCTTTCCACCTTCCAGCCTGCGCATTGGATTTTTTAGGTGAGACACAGTGTGCGCGGAACTGAGCCCACCCTTTAATCCTGAGGTTCATCTGCCGGGGCCAAGCACGCTTGGACGGTGGCAGCGAGGTCCTCAGGACGTAGA